GATGTGTTTAGTAGGGGTCCTTAGTCAAATGGCACCTCCCTTGCCCCTCTTCTCTTCCAGGTGTTGCAATATCTGAACAAAATGGCTGGGAATGAATACGTGGGTTTCAGCAATGCCACGTAAGGCCCTGTTCAGAGGGTTGGCTGAATGCACTGTGGTGGTGCGTGTGTATATACACACAGGAGAGAGAAGGGGAGGGGGTCGAGAAAGAGAGTGAATATGAATCTTAGGAGGAAGAAATTCCAGGGGTGCTGGGTATAGTGGTGCACACCTATAATCACAGCACTCAGGAGGCTGAGGCAGGAGGATTGCTGCAAACTCAGGGCCAGCCTGGGCTACATAGTGAGTTCAATGCCAGCCTGAACTATGTAGCCAAGCCTCTCAAAAAAAAAAAAAGAAGGGGCCAGGGATTTAGCTCAGTGGTTTCGCCGCCTGCTACCCAAGTGCAAAGACCTGAGTTCCATCCCTGGTACCAAAAAAAAAAAAAAGAAAAGAAAAAAGAAAAAGAGGGGCCAGGGATTTAGCTCAGTGGTTTCGCCACCTGCTGTGCCAACGCAAGAACCCAAGTTTGATCCCCGGTATCAAAAAAAAAGAAAAATTTCAGGGGAACTTTGGGCTCCTAGCTTTCTCTCAAACCCTTCATTGGCATTTGTTTACTCTGTGAAATAATTTGTTTCATTTTTAATTAGTATGTATGTAATAAGAGAGCAGTATGACGGTTTATGCCTAAACCCTTGCTGAGACACTCAAAGCCAAAAACCTCACTAGTGTCCCTAGACTACAGACAGCTGTGGGTGTTTAAAAAATTTTATTTAGATTTTACAACAAGGCTGTATAGAGTGTTTGCTCAGGTTCAGAAGTATCCTTTAATGTTACTGTGCAAGGTAGACAAGGGGCCAATTCTATTAGACGTCTGTGTAGTTCTATGTCTCTCTACAAAGGTAATATCTCCCTTTCCCCACATTCACCTCTCAAACTTCACACACTAAGTTGGGTGTTTGCTTCAGATTCCAGTCTGAGAAAGAAACTGGGGATCGGAATTATGCCATTGGCTATTACCTCAAGGAAAAGAAGGTAACTGGGAGAGAATGGTAGAGAAAGTCCCTGGGAATTCTGCTGCTGGCGGAAGGGCAGTAGGGTCTGGGGACTTGAGCTGAGACCCTGACAGTATGCAAGGGGCTGTTGATGGTCTGAAGAGAATGCTCTCCTTTCTTCCTGCAGTGCTTTCCTAAGGGGGTGGACATGATGGCTGCCCTTGATCTCTACTTCCAGGTAAGCAAACACTCTCAGGACCAAGAGAACAGGACAGACTGACCGCTCTCCCTCCCGGCCCACACAGGGAACACCAAGGAAGCTTGTTGAGAGATCTAAATGCCAAGAACAATGTTCTACACTGCGTGCATACTGGGTCCACACTGCACCTTCGCCTCTCTCCTGTCTCCACAGCTGTGCTCCGTGGAGGTCACCTGTGAATCAGGCAGTGTTATGGCGGCCACCCTTGCCAATGGCGGCATCTGCCCCATCACAGGCGAGAGTGTGCTGAGCGCCGAAGCAGTGCGTAACACCCTCAGCCTCATGCATTCCTGCGGCATGTATGACTTCTCTGGCCAGTTTGCCTTCTATGTGAGTGTTTTGGGGCCTGCCATCCATCTGCCATGAGCCCAGTGCCAAAAAAGGACCCTGCACACTAAAGATAGGAGGAAGCTCGTTTTGTTTCTGCTGGCCAGGCAACTGGGCTGAGGGGAAGTTATCAAACACATGTTCCTCAAATCCAGACACAGTGGTTCAGCTTCTGAAATGCTTTTGTGCGAGATTTATTTATTTATTTATTTAGGTACAGGGATAGAACTCAGGACCTTGTGCTTGCAAGGCAGGCACGGTGTCAGTGAGCTAAATCCCCAGGACCCCCACCCTCTTTTGGTACCAGGGATTGAACTTGGGACCTTGCGCTTACCAGGCAGGCATGGTGCCACTGAGCTAAATCCTCGGCCCTTGTGTGATCTTTAATGTGGCTGTCTCTTTGTAAGATTTCAGATCTAGCCAGGTGTGGTGGCACATGCCTGTAATCCCAGCACTCTGGAGGGTGAGGCAGGATTGCTGTGAGTTGGAGGCCAGCCTGAACTATATAGTGACCCTGTCTCAAAAAACCAAAACCAAACCGAACAAAACATGATTTATTTATTTATTTATTTTTTGCCCTCTAGGCAAGCACTCTGCCCCTGAGCTACACCTGCTAGGAAAGGTTTTTGTTGGGTTTTTTTTGTACTGGGGATCCAACTCCAGTCCTTGGACTTGTGAGGCAGGCGGCAGAACCACTGAGCTAAATCACCAGCTCTAGGAAAGGTTTTTCTGACTGCCTTATCTCAAGTGGGCCCGCCTCTACCTCTATTCACGGCACCTTTTTTCTCGTCAGTGTTTGTCATAATTATATTTGTCTATTTATGTATGCATGTTTATTACCTCTCTCCTACATCAGAAATTAAGTTAAATGAGACTTGTCCTAGTTCTAAGCACAGCAGCCACCACAGAATGCTGTTAATATCTGAGTAAACATTCCTTAACTGTATCAGTGAATGGAGGGAGAGGATGCCATTAAGAAGCTAATTAAGGGGCTGGGGATTTAGCTCAATGGTTTCACCACCTGCTGCGCAAGCACAAGGACCCAAGTTCGATCCCCAGTACCAAAAAAAAAAAAAAAAGCTAATTAATATGGCAAAATAAATTGAGGTGGGTTGTGGCCTTGCCGATACAGTCACTTAGAATAGTCTGCCTTATTTTCCTAGATTTGGGGGACTCTCAACTAATCCTTAGCTTCAAATTTGTTTTCCAGGTGGGCCTGCCAGCCAAGTCAGCTGTATCAGGAGCCATCCTCCTGGTGGTACCCAATGTCATGGGAATGATGTGTCTGTCCCCTCCGCTGGACAAGTTGGGGAACAGCCAGAGAGGGATCAACTTCTGCCAGGTAAGGTGCTCTGCATAGAGTACTATTTTTGAATTAAGCCATAAGTTTATTTAATAGTTGCTACTTTAAGTAAATAATTTTGAGGGCCAGGGATTTAGCTCAGTGGTTCCGCTGCCTGCCTCTCAAGCACAAGGTCCCAAGTTCGATCCCCAGTACAAAAGAAAAAGTAAATAATTTTGAGCTCCTACCAAGTGCAAGAAGTAAATATCTTTGGCTTACAATTCTAGAAGTTGGTGTCTCTCTTTAACTTCCACAACTATGACAACCTACGGCACTGTGCTCGGAAATTAGACCCACGGCGTGAAGGGGGAGAAGTTCGGGTAAGGGATTTTTAAGGATATTTCAGACTAGAATATTCCATGACATTTTGGCAATACCTTTGGGATAGGATCCATGGGGTAAGGTTAGAAAGCAGCTGGGAATGGGTGGATTCAAAGTCACAATCTCAGGTGGGTATGATTTATGTTCTAGAACAAGACAGTGGTGAACCTGTTATTTGCCGCCTATAGTGGAGATGTTTCAGCTCTTCGAAGGTAATTCTACTTTGACCAAATGTACACAATAAGAGACTCCTGTGCAGAGATCTTACTAGGAGGCAACATAGCAAAACAGTAAAATGCTTCCTCTTGAGGTTTAGCCAGAATGGACATAGATTGCATTTAAATGAGATTATTTTTTTTAAAAAACAAAGTGCCTCCCATATAAGAACTTAATGAATGGCAGTCACTGTTATTACCTTTGAGTGTTAAGAGAATAGTTCTTAGGAGGCAGGGACCCTGCCTCAAGTGGTTGCCAACATCAACAAAATTGTGCTATAGATAGTGATGTTTTTGGAAGCATATTCCCATCTCTCTGTCAGGAGAGTAAGTCTTACTTGTTGTAGAACACAAACTATACAGAGCCTCCAGGTCTTGGCATAAACTGTTTTACTTTTTCTAACCCTGCTTCAGAAAGGACACTAGTGATTCTAAACTGATGTGGGTAACCCTACCACTTTCCACTACCCTCAGGTTTGCTTTGTCAGCTATGAATATGGAACAGAAAGACTATGACTCCCGCACAGCTCTGCATGTTGCTGCAGCCGAAGGTACCTGAAGGGTCAGAGTGGGAGCAAAATGGAAAGATTTTTCTTCTTCCTTCTTGGTATACTCCAGCTGCCAAGGGTCTGAACCAAAGAGTTCAGGACCTATACCCTCTTATTTTCCTTCTGCCTGTATTCTTAGGCCACGTCGAAGTTGTTAAGTTTCTGATCGAGGCTTGCAAAGTGAATCCTTTTGTGAAGGACAGGTGAGTAGGATTAGTCTAAAAGGGGGCAGAGTGGCTTTTCCACCACTGCCCTTCAGTCACCATGCACATATACACAGCCATAGTACTCTCCATGTCTTCTCTGCCTGATCATGATCATTGTCCTTCTCAGGTGGGGCAACATTCCCCTGGATGATGCTGTGCAGTTCAACCACCTGGAGGTGGTCAAATTGCTTCAAGATTACCAGGACTCCTACACAATCTCTGAGTCTCAGGCTGAGGCAGCAGCTGAAGCCCTGTCCAAAGAGAACTTAGAGAGCATGGTGTGAGCACAGGTCACGTACAGGAAAAAGCAGGAGCTGGCCACGCACTTAACTCAAACATCAAAATACTATGGAGCGCTGCTTCGGTGGGGACCAAGAAAAAAAGCCATTTGGTGACACAGGCCTGTGCTTTTTTTGAGTCAGAATACCCCATGCCTTCAGCAGACAGAAAACAGAAGGACCAGAGGGACACCTGCAATAAAGCTATCCACAGAGACTTCAAAGTGTAGCCTAATGGGTTGGTCCAATCAAAACAGTCCCAAGTCTTCACCCAGGTACCCTCTTCCTCTTGCTGAAGAAACCACCTGGAGAGATACTTCAGTGAAGGAACTACCATGAACATGTATATATCACAGAATAAGAGAAAGAGGGGCCTGTGTACTTGGCTTTAGCAGTCTGGAGAGATCTGTCCCCTTGACCAGGATATGCTGCTGCTACCGCTAACGGCAATTTTATAGACAGAGAAAGTATTCTGTGCTCAAATAAACTTTAATTACACAAATTATTATGTGGCTAAATTCATTTTCTTTCTCCCCTAGGGATCTCCACCTTCATCACCATCATAGAAGGTAGAATAAAACAGAACCATAGCATCAGACAGCAGCCCAAACAATACATATTTCATGCACATATTCACTTACCCCACAAGGTTTTCCTCACCCCTAAATAATGCTTCAGGTTAAGTGTATTCTGTTGCCAAAGGAAAAAGGGGTTTGGATCTGAACAGACCCAAAAATGGATGTTGCAAAACCTCAGGCTTTCCTCCTCCCTCTGAAGTTTCAACTGTGGCAGAAATTAAGATGGAACTTCTCAGAAAGACAGTTGCTAGCACTAATCCCCTAGATATCCCTCTAGTGTCTCTTCCCTTTGGTCACAGTTGTAACTGGCACAATTATTAAAACAGACTGGCTAGGTGTCAGGGTGAGGTTGCTGCAGCTATGTGAGGCTGAGGGTCTATGCATGGAGGTACTAGGGATGGAGGACTCTGTTTTCACTCAGACCTACTGAGTCAATAAAGCGCTGAGGGAACCAGAACCCACACTCTGTAGGTGCTGTAGAGAAAGGGCCAAGTCACTGAACAACTCCTACAGCCAGAGGTAGATATGATTTACTCTGGAGAGATTTGGTAGAGTCCCCAAAACAAGTTACGCATGAGTAAAAGGAAGGCGAGATAATACAGTGACAAATACATAATTCAAACACAACTGAAAGACAAGACTCCAAGACTGAATAGTCTCACAAAGGCCTGGGCAATGTGAAGGCAGAGAGACTAAAGAAGCCAAGTCAGGGAACATAATATCCATGGTTGTTCAGGAAACTGGCAGTAGTTTGAAACTGCATGCCTAGCATTCACAAGGTAGAAGATGACTTAATGCACAGGTCTTGACAATGAACTGTGGGAGCTAGAGCTTCTTGGGGCAACATAAAACAGTTTCAGACACTTTGAACAGAAAGCTAGCAAAGAGCATAATTAGGTACTCCCAATAATGGACATACACTAAAGACACTCTGGCACCTCAAGCCCTGAATGACTCAGCAGCTCTCCATCCCAAAGAGCAAAAGCAGGCACCACTGGTCCCCGGAAATCTGTCTGTAGCGTGCAGACCACAGAGACCTGGCTGACATCCACCAGGCTCAGCTTCTGGGCCTCATACTCCAACAGCAGCCCCACTTTTTCTGGCTGCCCGACACCCTCAATTGGGGCTTTCTCGTTGGCCAACATGGTGTGCCACTTGCGCTGGGCACAAGAGAACACCCATGATCGATCATCAACACCGATGCAGCTATCCCGAGACATGTCCACATCTGCCACTCCTATTCGGAACTGCTGGGAGCGCTTCACTGTCACTTCCCAATAGTGTCTGCCACTGGTGATCGCTGTGTCTGCCAGCACCACTGCCCACTCCCGGAAACGCTCCACATTCAGGGCTACCTTGGTAGGCTCCAATCCCACCAAGCCATATTTGACACCTGTGTCACCTCTGAAGAGTGCCAGACTGCTGTGGGCGGTTTTTTCTTCTAGTTTGAAACTGATGCCTGCGGGAAAAGCAAAAAGACTGGATAATGACAGGAGTAGGACTCTATGGCTGGTGATAGGTTCATATTCTGAAGCAGGCAGCCGGGGGAATCCCAGGCTGGCAACAAAGTGAACAATGCTGCTTTAGTATGGGAACCCCAAGGAGCCGAAAAACTCGGACTGGGGAAGCCATGTCTTTAAAAGAAAAAAGTGCCTAAGGTTTGGAATCCCAAGACTAAGGCAGATGTAGGAGAAAAAAATGACCAATGGGTTGCAGCTCTCTGGGTGGCCCCGGGGAATAAAACACGTACTATTTTGGAGGTAGAAGAGAGTAAAAGGAAATAACCCTACCTCTTTGGGATTCCCCAGAGGCAAACCCCCTTCGTTTCGCAGACCAGCGGCACAAACGCCAGGAACGTGCAAAGGGCAGTGCCATCTTGCGCTACGGACGCACGGGACACGCCCCCGCGTTGAAGACCCCGCGCACTTCCGTCTGCTCCGGGAGCACTTGGTTCGTCCGGCGGTCGCGCAATTTGATGACGTAGCTCAAGGCCACAGTGGGAGCAGACATCCCAGTGGGTTTCGATCTTCTGGAGATTTTTTTGGAGTTTAGCGAGGAGGAATCCCAATCACATTTGAATGAAATAGGACCTGTCGAGATAAGTCATACAACCATGAGTTCTAGAATTAGGCAGTAATTAGATTGGCTTCAGTGTGTGGCTTTAGGCAAATAATTTTTCTGAGCCTCAACATTCTCATTTGTGAAACTGAAATAATGCAATCATAGACCTTGCTACGAAGAAGTCCTGGGTTCGACCTCTGATCGAAAAATAATAATAATAGTAATAATAATTTAGAATACAGCTTGCCAAATAGCAATCACTGAGTAAGGGTCAGTTGTAAGTACTGACTAAATAAATAAATAATGTACATACTGGTTTTGTATTTTCAGGGCTCAGAGTGGATGATTAACTGAAAGTATCAGGGTGTTTTTGTTTTGTTTTGTTTAAACAATCTTGCTATATAGTCAGGCTGCCCTTGAACTCACTATACAGCTCAGGCTGTCCTCAGATTCTCCAAGATCTTCCTGCCTCAGCTTCCCAAGTGCTGGGATTACCCATATTTAATTCTTTATGTTTCAGATATGTGTATTCCACAGCCTAACAGACATTCATACCTGCTGTCCTCCAGTTACCTTAAATTCAGTATGTCCAAAACTAACTTCATCTTCCTACACAAACTTCCTCCTCCAGTCCCTGACTCCAGAAACTATATCCTATATCCAGCCAGTTACAGAGGAGTCCCTGACTTCTTTGTCTCTCTCATCTGACATATCTCATTGTCATTTAATTCCTATTACATTATTTCTCCCAGAGACTGCTGAATAGGCTTTCTAGCTGGTATCCCACTTTCCTCAGTGCTGCCTAGGAAACAAACAGGCAACTGCTTATTTTAGCCATTAGGTTTTAGATTCTTTTTTTTTTTTTTGGTACTGAGGATCGAACTCAGGACCTTTCGCTTCCAAGGCTGGCGGCAAAACCACTGAGCTAAATCCTTAAGAATGGAGATTAAGTCCTTTGTTCTCTGTGTCCCAGGGCCTCAGTATTCTCCATAGCAGAGATGAAGGGATATGAATGACTAGAGTATAAAGGGTCCACTTTTGTGTCCACATCGTTGGAGTACAGCAGTTCTTTCCACCAGGTGTCAGTCTGGCCCAACCTTTTCAGCCACTTAAATGTGAAAAGTGAGAAATTTTTTGCCTTTTTTTTGGTACTGGGGATTAACACAGGACCTACATCTCTAGCCCTTTACTTTTAGTTTGAGACAGGAATCCCAAATCACTAAATTGCCCAGGCTGGGCTTGCACTAGCAATCCTGCCTCAGCTTTCCAGAATGCTGGGATTGCAGGAATGTGCCACATGCCTTGTTGGTTTGTTCCCTTTTAAGCCTAGGAGTGAAGTACTGGAGGAAAGATTTCCTTCAGAAAAGTCTTTCTCTGTCAGTATTTTGCATTTTGGTAGTAACAACAGAAAAATTCCAGGATTATATTTCTGTAGGATTTCTCCTGCTGTTCATCCTGGCCTGAAAACTGAAACAGTCCCTCACATCGCCACTTAAGACACACATACCTCTGTTACTTCGTCTCCCATTCAAGAATAGCTTCACCTGTCATCTCTTGTATTATTTTACTTCTATAGACTGGCCACTTATCTAATAAACATAGCTTCATCATTCAGATGATTTATTCTCCTCACTGTTAACAAGTAATTATTCTTAACATTTGGTTATGTCCTAATTAGGAAGTGATAGAATTGCTTGACACACGAGATTGGGTAGGACATTTGAGGTAGAGGGAACCACTTAGGCTAAAGCCCTGGGTTATGAAACAAAATTGAGCATGTGAACAAGGAACACAGTTTCGCCAAAGTTTCATGTTGGTGAAATGAGAAGAGCACTAAAGGGCCATGTGTGCCATGATGGGGAGTTTAAACTTGTCTTTCAGGCATTTATGAACTGTTGAAAGGAACACAGGGAAATGACAAATTACAGGTCCTAATAGTGAGGTAAACCTGGCAGCAACATGAAGAGTGAATTGGAAGAGATGAGACTAGGGAGACGAACAGGATCGGAGGCCACTAGACTTCTCATATGAGACATAGTGTGGGCTCAGCTATCTAAGATATAAGATTAGTGGCAACTTGAGTATAAAGGGAGAGGGGACTGATTAGATGGGAACAAGAGGATGAGGAAGAGGCAAAGCTGATTCATAGGTTTCTATGAATGAGGGGATACAACAGAAGTGTGTCGGGATGGGAGGAAGACAGTTAAGTTTTTCATAGGGTGAATTTGAGGTATTTGTGGAACCACCAGGTGTAAATGTTCTATAGGTACATGGATTTAAATTTCAAGACATCCTGGTGGGGTGATGCACCTCTGTAATCCTTCATACTCACGAGGATGAGACAGGATGATTGCAAGTTTGAGGACAGCTTGGGTAACTTAGCAAAGTAAAAAATAAAGGGCTGGGGATTTAGCTCAGTGGTGCCGCGCCTGCCTTGCAATCACAAGGTCCTGAATTCAATCCCCATACCAAAAATAAATAAATAAATAAATAAATAGGGTTGGGGAAGTAGGTTGGTGGTAATGTTCCCCTGGCTTTGATCTATAGCACACACTCACACAAAAAAAATCCAGACAGGTAGATGTAGTTGAGATCATCCAAGGAGAGGGTGTAGAATTACAGTAAGTAGGGAATAAACTGAAGGCACAAACCTAGTGTTAAGGGTTGAGACAGATGAGACTCAAGATGAGACATAAAATGTTTAGAGCAGGACCCAACCTTAGTAAGCATTGGTCTGCAAAAAAAGTTGTATCTGACTCTCTGAAAAAGAAAGGGGAAAGGAGGCAAAAATAGGTCAGGCCAATGCTTTGATTACTCTATTCTTGGATTACCCCATTTCCAACATGTGAGGGCCCTGGCCTGATCCAAGTGCTGACTGGAGCCCTCATCTATGGATAGGAGAGGGATGGTGCTCTCAGAGCTTGGTGATTGTTCTGGACTTTGCCAGGAGTCAGCAGCCAGCAAAGCATAACCAGAGAAAGAGAGAGAGAAGGGGGGGCCTCAGGAGCTAGCCAAAGGGGCTGCTGGGCTGGCTTGTGCTGTGTTGGGGCCTTTGTCCTACACAATGGGAGCTGGGTTACACACTGACCTGGCATTCTGAGTATGGGGCTGGGACAGAGATTCTACATGGTGGAAGCAAAGACGGATGGTCACCTAGTCTCTGAGCACCATCTCTACTCACAAATGTTGAAATCCCTAGTGAACATGTTCAGCACATTGTCATAATAAATTATCTTTATATGTGGTTAATTTATAAAACAATTCATTTTTACTTTAAGACAGCTAATTTAACATGTGTATATTCCTGAGACATATCTCATTTGTTCTTCATTCAACCCTGCAAGTTCAGCAAGGTAGGATTTTGCTTTGTTTTGTTTGAGACAATGTCTCACTATGTAGTTCAGGCTGGTCTTGAGTTCACTGTGTAGTCCAGGCTGATCTCAAATTCATGGTGATCCTCCTGTCTCAACCTCCCAAGTGCTGTAATTACAGGTGTTCCCAGCTTCAGCAAGGTAGATATTTTTATGGAATTTGAACCTGGTTTACTTTTTTAGGGTCTGGTGATATGGGTTGGCTAAGAAGTAGCTGGAGAAAGGTGGTGAGTCAGTCTTGGACCACCTCAGAGGTAGCGATGATAATCCATGGAACCCACTGTGGAGGACTGAAGAACAAATAGCTCTGCCTGCAGACCTCTGAATTATAAAAACCCACTTCCTCCTCATCATTATGGATTTCCATATGGAAACGAGAAATGGGACTATCTTTAACAAATAGGGGAGAAAACTTAAGATTACTGGCCCAGGAATATTCAGAGTTTGCAGGGTTGATCATTATAGTCAGTAGGCTATAACTCAGTTTTATTTTGTTTCTTTGGTACTGGGGATCAAACTCGGGACCTTGCGCTTTTGAGACAGGCGGCGTAACCACTGAGCTAAAACCCCGACCCCTTATAACTCAGTTTTAAGTGTTGAGACAGATTAGACTCCAAGATGACTCCTACTACAAAACATTAAGACTTCTGATAACTTTGTAATCACTCAAGTTTTTACTTTGGAAATCCTTTCTCCACTTTCATAGTTCCTATTGGAAAACAAAAACAAAAAATGTTAAAAAGATGATTGTATGCCAGGAAAAAAGAGTGAGAATCTACAGCTAAAGTTTTTTTACAACCCCTAAAAAGAATCCTAAATACAAGAATAATGTAGAGTGGTAGCAAAAAGGGAGAACAAGACAGCCAGAAAAAAAGAAGAAGATAATGAATTGGGTGTTTCCTGGGTGATCCCAAGAGTGTTGGATCCCAGGAATTCCCCAAAGGCATATTCCTTTGCAGGGTCTGATGGTCTGGTTACTGGCCAGCACTGGTGGTGTCTCACTGGTTTGCTGTTTTTTTGTTGTTTTTGGTACCGGGGATTGAACTCAGGACCTTGCGCTTGAGAGGCAGGTGCCGGAACCACTGAGCTAAACCCCCGGCCCCTATGGTTTGCTGTTTTATGTGAAGTATGAGGATGTCCTTATCTTGTCTCTCAAACTCCTCCCGTTGTCTTCCAGATCCTCACATCAGTTTTCCTCTTTCCTCTCTAGTTCTTTTTCTTTCTTTCTTTTCTTTTTTTTGGTACCAGGGATGGAACTCAGGTCCTTGTGCTTGCACAAAAGGTGTTGAAACCACTGAGCTGCATCCCCAGCCCTCCTCTCTAGTTCTTGAACCCCAACTCCATGTTTAGAGAGTGGGAGAATGAGTCTCTGCCATCACTGCCCTTTGCCCAGGGAGTCTGTGGCCAAAGGGTTAAAGAGGAAGAAAGCTTGGTAGGAGAGAGAAGAGCCAAGGCTGGGAAGAGTGGGTGCCTAGGCATGAGGGTGAATACAAGTG